GTTCTGCCCTCTCCACTGACCTGGCTTTGACATCTGGAAGAGGCAAGCCCCCCTCCCACCCCACCTCACACACACAGCTGCGCCTGACCAGGCAGGAGGAGGTCAGCAGCTGCTACCACAAGACCTGGCAGCACCCATCTCCCAACCCGTCCTTGCGCCTGCCCCTCACCTGGGGTGGTAGCACAGCCAGCTGGACCTCACGTTCAACTACCAGGCCACATGGTCACCATGGGCGTGACATGCTGCTTTTTTTAATTTTATTTTTTTACGAAAAGAACCAGTGTCAACCCACAGACCCTCTGAGAAACCCGGCTGGCCGGGCCCAGCCAGCAGCCCCTGTCCCTAGGCCCAGAGGCTCTAGGTGAGGGGTGGCCCTGTCGAGCCTTCAGGGCGGGCGTAACCCCCTCTCACCAAAGGGTTCACCTCACACTTGAATGTACAAAACACCCAGCTGTCCAAAGGCCTCTAGCCCCTGCTTCCTGCTACTGTCCTGTCCTGAGCCCTGAAAGTTCCCCTCCACCAGAAGCTGAAACAGGCAACCCAGAGGGAAAGTCACCCAAGACCACTGGGGCAGACAAAAACCTCAAGGATCTGTCACAGAAGGAAGGAGGGCATCCTCTCCCTGATAGCTAACATAGGCCTGTGTGCTGCACTCCACATCCATGCTCCACTTCTTCTCAAGACAGCATCCCTGGAAAGGGGCCTACTAGGGACCTCTCCCTCCAGACAGAAAAAGAAGAAAAGCAAACAAGTAAGGAAGGGCAGTTTCTCCCCTGCTCCCTTGCCCTAGAGTCCCCACCTCAGTGGCCAGATCCCAGGCTGGGCCCATGCCCACCACAGGTACTCCTGGCAACGGCTGGACCTGCCCTGTGCCACTCCCTGACCTGTCAGGGAAACAGAGGGCCCACAGGCAGTCTGGGAAACCGGGCGCTTCTGTCCATCAGTAATACTCCCTGCTCGGCTGCCCCTCCCCACCTTTATATAAATTCTCTGGATCACCTTTGCATAGAAAATAAAAGTGTTTGCTTTGTAAGAAAAGCCTGCAAAGTAGCAGGGTTGTCTCCAGGGTCCAAGAATCCTCCAATCTTCACAGGGAGGGCAGGACAGGTAATAGCCCCTTGAGTTTGGCCTGGAAAAGAGAGACTCCTAGGAGTGACCCCAGGGAAAGAAGGTGAACCCTTATCCACAACAGAAACTGTCCCTCACCTGCAGACCTGGCCTTCCTAGAAGGTTGTCATGGACCGGGCTGAGGTGGGCAGCAGGACACTGGAAGACAGAGGTGTGGCTTGGGGTGCTGGTATCACATGTTCCAGAGGCAGTGGCTGGAAGAAGTACAGCTGCAGCAAGAGTTGGGGGTGAATGTGCAGTTGGGTGGCAGCAAGCTGCACCCCACAGCCCTGCTGAGGACCACATGGACCCCTACCTTACAACCTAGAGCCAAGAGGGCGTGAAGCAGTACCACCACAGACAGCAGTGCTGCAGCCACCAGCCTCGTATCCTCGCGGACAACAGGCCACAGGGTGAACACCAGTCCAGCAGCTGACAAGGCCAGGGCCAATGCTCCAAAGAGCCACTGCAGCCACTCCACTGGGATAAGCCACAGGACCTAGTGTGACAAGTGTAGCTGGTGACCACACAGGGTGGGCCATGCCGCTCCCACCAGTCCCCAGAGCCAAGCCACACTCACCACGGTGGGGATGAAGACAAAGAGTGAGTAGCCATAGACACAAACAGTCTCCAGGAAGGTGTACAGCCCCATGTGCTCCCTCGTGCCCTGGCGCCACCGGAGGAAGCCCCACAGTGCCAGCGGCACTAGCCACGCGTAGCAGTAGATGGTGATGCCCGCTACTGTCACTAGGAATGCAATGTGGGCAGTCACTGAATGCAATGTGGGCAGTCACTGCATGCCCTAGCAGCCAGGAGCTGAGCCCACCCACCTGCTTACCCTTGTGGAACTGGGGGCTGTAGTGGATGGAGGGGTCCCGCCTCTGTGCAAGCACCAAAGTGAGATTGCCAGTAACCGCCAGGACAAAGGCCAAAGTAGCACAGATCCAGAAGGGACCTGCAAAGGAGGACATGGAGTCCCAGGTCTGTCACTTCCAGGAAAGGTGGCTATGTCCTGTTCAAGTGTGGTAAGACCCCAGACCCCATTTGACTCTCCAGATCACCGGTGACAGGAGCTGCCTCTGGGCTCATCCTATCTTTCTGGACATACCTTCCACAGTGCCTCAAGCACGTGGCTTTTTTCTCTTCTCTGACAACATTCTTTGTAGGTAGAATAGGATTGGTACTATTCCACTATAGGCAGGATCTTGTCCAAACCTGAGGCTTCATGAATGCCACTTTTAGCTGTCCACTCCCAAATTGCTCCAGGGCACTGAACTGCACACTTAGGTATGAACTTCATGTGGGTGTCCTGAGCCCCTACACCCTTGATCTTCTCCTCATACCTGCCCAGCTTTTCCTGTGTACCAGTGGCAACTTGCTCTTGGTAGACTGGGTAGAAAGCCACCCTGGCCTTTCCTAATCCTCTTGGCTGTGGGAATACTCTAGAACCAACCACTCTGCACTCAGCCTCCACTGTAATGTCTGTCCCCTGCATTTCAACAGTGCCAGAGGAGAGCCTAAAAATACTTCACAAAGATCCCTTCTCACCACCATGTGGGACCAATATACTCACCCTCTCTCTACCCATGACCTCCCAGCTAGCTGTTCCTTACGCTCCAGTGACCTATGCAACTCAGTTGTGTTTGTTTCCACCATGGGGCCCAGAAACTTTCTGGGTCCTCCTCTAAGCCTCTCCCCACCAATGTAAACAAAACTTACTTGCCTACTCAGAGGCGTTCCTGACTTCCTTAAACCAATGATACCACTCATCCTCTAAGTTAGCCCTAAGTTAGAAGGTAGTAACCTTCTGCATCCTGTCTTGGGGTCTCCCTTAACTAAACACAAATTTTACTCTTACTGACTGCCCTGCTCAGGGCCTGGCACAGTTCCATATCTGTGGAGTGAATACTCCATTGAGTCAAACAGAAGTCTTATTTACCATATAAGTCAGGCCGATTTCTAAGATGGTACCGCACAAAGTTGTGGCCAGGGTGAGGCAGCAGCGAGCCTTTGATCCGGTCCAAGACCTGGAGAGCAAAGCCAGGGTCCAGAATGAGAATCCTAGCATTCTGAGAGGCATGACCCCTCTAGACTTCTAACTGCCTTGCCTACATCCTAACTGAACAAGCTCAGCTGTCCGCTCCAGGCTGCTCATGGGGTGTCTCTATGGCTTGTGGTCTTGGCCCCTAGCTCCTGCAGAACATGTCACCACTCTGAATGTGGGCTTTCAGTCCTGCCACCTCAACTTCTCTTTTTATTTATTTTATTTTATGTGCATTGGTGTTTTGCCATGGGTGTTGGATCCGCTGGAACTGGAGTTACAGACAGTTGTTTACAGCTGTGAGCTGCCATGTGGGTGCTGGGAACTGAACCTGAGTCCTCTGGAAGAGCAGCCAGTGCTCTTAACCGATGAGCCATCTCTTCAGTCCCTCTCAACTTCTTGCAGCCTCTCCTCCCAGCCACAGTAAGGACAGTCCCTAAGTTCTAGATGTTCTCCCTCCATCTCCAGGCTGTGCCCTCTCAGTAGATCTGGTTTATCAGAGGCTGGCCTGTGTTCCACATTCATATCTGCTCAGTCTACTTATTCCTCTCCTGTTCTAAAGTCTTCATGACTTCCAAACCCAAACTTCAGCTCATTAGTGGGGCCTGCATTCAGGCCTAGTGGTGCCAGTCGTGGCCCTAGCTACACAGGAGGCTTGAGACAAGAGGAGGACTCAAGGCCTGACTGGGAAAGATGCCAAGACACTGGCTTTGTAATCTAGTTTTGCTTTCCAGCCCTACCACAACACACATTCTATCCAAATTCAGTGCCCCAAATATAGTGGCTGAACCCCAAGCAACTCCAAGCCCTTTCCACCAAGTCCCAGGTCTTACCTGGGAGGTGTCCACATCAAAAAAGCCCTGATAATAGTCAAACGTCCAGAATCTTGGCTGTGGCTTTTCTTCCCGTAGAAGCTACAAGATAAGACTTTCAGAACCTGCCTGCTTAGCCAGGATAAGGACAGAGGCAGGGCATGGGGGCCCGGAGACTCACCGATGTCTTGTCACCCTCTTCCTCCACCTCTTCGGCTCCATAACCAATACCTGGTCCCACAACCACAGCCACGTGTTCCCGTGAGGTCAGCGCATCACTTTGGCTTGTAGTGGCTGCATCTGGGGTCTCTGCCAGAAGATGTGTGGCTTCCTCAAACTCTACGAAGAGGCAATATGGAAAGGTGTTTGGAGTCTGAAAAATCCTTTTGGCCCACTGCTCATCAACCTGGGCTGTGGGTGCCTCACTGCCCTCCCCTACGGACTGAGTTTCTTCAATTTTTGACGTAATTTAGGTCCTGGGCAGACTTGGAGGCTCTGGTGTGCCTGTTTGCATAGTGATTGCAGGGACTGAGTCCGGAATGAACCCCAGGCTCATCCTGGGATCTGGGTCCCAGCTGCCTGTGGTTCTAGCCTAGGACAGTAGGAGCTCAGACCACTTCGGGCCCCACTCACCATGGAAGGCCAGTTCGTCAGCCGCTGCCATGGTTCTTTAGAGGCGTCACCGCATCGCGCTCTGTGAACAGAACTGCATCAGTCCCACAGCCCTCCTCAGGACTGATGCTTCCGCCTCGAGTCCTGCCTGGAGCCTAACACACGGAGTGAGACCAGCTCCACGCCAGGGCCCTGCAGGTGCACCCCGCCCTCCTCACCTGAGAACCTAAGCTGGCGTGGACCGTGCTCCGTGCGCGTGCGCGCGGCCAGCCTACCCGTCAGCGCCCACCCTCCACGCAACGGCAACATCCGGCGCTAGTCCGGTTCTTAGTGGGGTCCAGTGAGGAACTACGTCCGGTGTCTTGCGCTTGCGCAGGAGCCTCTCCGCCCTTTTCTTTCCGGCACTATGCTTTTCCACTCGGCCAACGGACCGCCGGAAGAAGATGGCGACAGCGGCTCCAAAGAGATTCTGGTCCGGAGGGCGCAGTGAAGCTGGAGAAGAGGCGAGTGGTACCGCGACGGTGGCGGCAAGGCCAGGGGTGTGGGCACGACTGGGTGAGTAGTGGTGGCAGAAGGCGGCGGGGTGGGTGGCCCGAGTGGCTGGATCACTGTCACCAGCGCTGCTTTCCCCTCAGGCACCTGGGCCCGCGCGCTGCTTCGGGATTATGCCGAGGCGTGCGGAGACGCGGCGACCGCAGCGCGTGCCCGGCCGGGCCGCGCGGCCCTGTACGTGGGGCTGCTGGGCGGCGCCGCGGCCTGCTGCGCCCTAGCGCCCAGCGAGGCGACCTTCGAGGAGGCCTTGCTCGACGCATCAGGGTCCCTCTTGCTGCTGGCGCCGGCGACGCGCAGCCGCCACTCGGAAGCGTTCTTGCAGCGCCTGCTGTGGCTGAGGGGCCGCGGGCGGTTGCGCCACGTGAACCTGGGGCTCTGCTCGCTGGTGTACGAGGCGCCCTTCGATGCCCAGGCCAGTCTCTACCAGGCTCGCTGCCGCTACCTGCAGCCACGCTGGATCGACTTCCCCGGCCGCGTCCTCGACGTGGGGTTCGTGGGCCGTTGGTGGATCCTGGAGAACCGCATGCATGATTGCGACATCAACGATGACGAGTTTCTCCACCTGCCCGCGCACCTCCGCGTCGTCGGCCGCCACCAGCTGCATTCTGAGGCCAACGAGAGGCTGTTCGAGGAGAAGTACAAGCCCGTCGTGCTCACCGATGACCAAGTGGACCAGGCGCTGTGGGAAGAGCAGGTGTTGCAAAAGGAGAAAAAGGATAGACTGGCGCTAAGCGAGGCCGATTCACTGGTGCAGTCCGAGGTTTCCAGATGAAACCCAGGGAGCCCCCGGTTTCCAGGCTCAGGCAAAGAACTGTTGGCCAGGTGCAGTGGGTGAGAAATCCATTCAGTGTGGTTTTGTAGGAAACCCTTCTCGCTCTGCTTCTCGCTCTGTCTGTCCCAATAGCTGAAGCTAATTGAAGGCCTTTCTGGTCTTGGAGATGGAGAAAAGCTGAAGAACTGGTCTTGACCATGGAGCATTTGACCGTGTTATGCTTTAACCATCAGAGCTACGAGTAAGGAGCCTGCACTGTGTATGTAGCCTGTTGTAGTTGGGGTGTACTTCAGTACAGTGGTAGAGCACTTGTCTAGCATGCATGGGTTCCTGGGTTCCATTCCCAGCACTGCAAAACTGAACACAAATGAACTTTTGGTTTTGGATTATTTATTTGGTTGGTTTTTGAGACTAGTATTCCCATATAGCCCAAACTGGCCCTGAATCCTCCTGCCTCAGCTCCAGTCCACCACGGTGTACATAGCCCATATATAAGCCCTATTCATATGGCTACAAAGACGTCTTGATTGCCAGTGACTCCCAAGATCCTAAGACCATTCACATATTAACATTTTTTGAGTGTTTGTATGAACCTTTAAGGAAGATCTGGCTGTGTTGGCCGGGTTAGTTTAGAATTCATGGGCAAAAGTGGTCCTTCCAGGAGCTGGATAGTTCAGTATTTAAGAGTACTGATTGCTCTTCTCTTGATTCAAGAAACTTAATTCAATTCTCAGCATCCACATAGGGGCTCACAGTCATCTATAACTCCAATTCAAGGAATCTGACCTTTCTCTTCTGGATTCCTCAGGTACTAGGCAGGCACATGATGCACAGACATGCATGCAGACAAAACACTCATGCACATAATGTTTAAAAAACGATCTCCTAAATAGCCTTCCAAGGTTGGGAGTATAATCATGTGCCAGTGCCCAACCTCAGATTTTTCTATTTCAGTTGGAACTGAAATGTGCTTGTTTGGGTTTTTTTTTTGTTTGTTTGTTGTGGGTTTTGGTTTAGTTTGTTTTGATACAGGGTCTGGAACTGGCTATGAAGAACAGTCTGGTCTTCAACTCACAGACATCTGTCTGCCTCTGAAATTTAATTTTTTTTGGGGGGGGGGGGTGTTGGTTTGTTTCTGAGAAGTGATCTCACAGCCCAGTCCAGCCTCAATCACTATGTAGCAAAGGATAACTGAATGATCCTCTTGCTTGCACTTCCCGAATGGAGGGTGAAATGTTTCTGTTGTGTGGTTTATTATAGTTGAGTACTTTTGTTACGTGCTAGACATAAACCCGGGGTCTGGTACATACTAGGTAAGCACTGTACTTTATTTGGGGGGGAGGGTAATTCTCACCAGAATAGAATGGAATGTAAGGCAAGTGCTCCACTGGTGATCCACATGCTGGGACTTCCTTGCTGGAAGATATTAAATACTGCCATCACTTGGCATAAATAAACCTTGTCTGAAAGGGCCTGGAGAAAAGGCTGAGTGGTTAAGAGTGTTTACTATTGTTGCAGAGGACCTGGGTTTAGTTCCCAGTATTCACATTATGGCTCATTAATTCCAGTTTCAGGGGAGCAATGGTTGGTTTTGATTTTTTGAGACAAAGTTTCACTGTATTAACATTGGCTGTCCAGGAACTCTGTAGACCAGGTTGGTCTTGAACTCACAGAAATCCACCTGCCTCTGCCTCCAGAGTGCTGAGGCTAAAGGCATGTACCACCTCCCGGCTGAAGTTTATGTATGTACAAGCAAAACTAAGTTGCTGGGACGTGGTGACATGCCTTAATCCCAGGACTCAGGAGGCAGAGGCAGGCATATCTCAGTTCCAGGACAGCCAGAGCTACATATAAACAAACACCAAAAAGAAAACAGCCCCAGAAGTTGTCCTCTGACCTCCACAAACATGCCATGGTGCATGTGTGTGCCTGTCCTCACACATCGTACACATTTTTTTCCCAGACATGCTTTCTTTGTGTAGTCTTAGCTGTCCTGGAACTGGTTGTGTAGAGCAGGCTATCCTCAAACTCACAGAGATCTGCCTGCCTCCGCTTCCCAAGTGCTGGGATTAAAGCTGTGCACCACCACAACCCAGCCATACACAATAGTTTTTCGAGGCAGGGTTTCTCCGTGTAGTTTTGGTTCCTGTCCTGGATCTTGCTCTGTAGACCAGGCTGGCCTCAAACTCACAGAGATCCTCCTGGCTCTGCCTCCCGGGTGCTGGAATTAAAGGCGGGGCCACTACTGCCCCGCCACAGTTGGTCTTTCAAAACAAGGTTTCTCTGTGTGACAGCTCTGGCTGGCCTGGAACTCACTCTGTACCAAGTGCTGCGATTAAAGATGTGGCCTACCACCACCCAGCAATACACAATTTACGGTTTATTTTATGTTTATGAGTGTTTTGCTTGCATGTGTGCATATGCACCACATAAGCACAGTGCTCAGAGAGGTCAGAAGAAGGCTCAGATTCCCCTAGGTCTGGAGTTATAGGTGGTGGTGGGCTGCTATGTGGGTGCTATGAACTGAACCCAGATCCTCTTCAAAAGCAGTAAGTATTTTCCCACTGAGCCATCTCCCCAGCTTTGTGTAATCTTTGAAAGCCAGCCAACCAAATGATTCAGCAGGTAAAAGTGCTTACCACTCCAGCCTGATGACCCGAGTTTGATCCCCAGAACAGTGTCCTCTGACCTTTGTGGCATACACGTTCCAGTACGGTTACACAACATACACAGCACACATGATTGAAAAAAAAAATCTAAATTCTAGTCCTAATCAATTACTTACCTAAGGCTCTGGGCCAAAATCCTAATATTGCCCTTCACTTGCCTTTAGACAAAATCTGTAGCCCAGTTTAATGGAGAACTTGGTATGTATCGAGGAAGGGCCTTGAACTTATTCTGTCCATACCTCCTGAGTGCTGGGATGACAGGCATGTGGTGATGTGCACAGTTTTCCACCCTTTTTTTCTTAGATTAGCTGTGATGGCTCCTCTTGACTTTTTTTTTTTTTTTTTTTTTTTGGTTTTTCGAGACAGGGTTTCTCTGTGTAGCTTTGCGCCTTTCCTGGAACTCACTTGGTAGCCCAGGCTGGCCTCGAACTCACAGAGATCCGCCTGGCTCTGCCTCTCGAGTGCTGGGATTAAAGGCGTGCACCACCACCGCCCGGCTTTCTTTTGACTTTCAACTTGACTACATCTGGAATTAACTAAAACCCAAGGGGCTGGAAGGCCTGTGAGGAATTTGAAATGGGAAATCCACCCTTAATCTGGGCCACACCTGCTGGCAGCCTCTATAAAAGCCATTGAAGAAGGAAGATCTTGCTCCTTGCCTGCTTGCCTTTGCTCTCATTGGCAGGTCCATTTCTTCACTAGCGTTAGAGCCTACTTTGGGATTCCAGCATATATGAAGACCAGCTGAAACATCCAGCCTCATGAACTGAACGATTACTGAATTCTTGGACCTTCTATTTGTAGATGGCTATTGTTGGACTACAGCTTTATAAGCCATTCTAATCCCCTTTATATATTTATATAATATATATGGGTTATTATATATATATATATTGTTTTGTTTTTCGAGACAGGGTTTCTCCATGTAGTTTTGGTGCCTGTCCTGGATCTCGCTCTGTAGACCAGGCTGGCCTCAAACTCACAGAGATCCACCTGGCTCTGCCTCCCCAGTGCTAGGATTAAAGGCGTACACCACCACCACTGTCTGGCTTGAAATATATATTTATATATAGGGGATTTATTAGACTGGCTTGTAAGTTCTGTTTTAGAGGACCTTAGCTAATATTAGTCAACTTTGGGGAGGGATTTAAGACCAACTGACAGAGTTGAGCAGTGGTGGTGTATGCCTGATCTACAGAGTGAGTTCCAGTAACAGGCTCCAAAGGTACACAGAGAAACCCTGTCTTGAAAAAAAAGACCCACTGACAGCAAGATGACAAGTCTCTCATGGAAGTATTTATTATTTTATGTATGTGTTTGTTTTGCCTGCGTGTATGTCTGTGCACCATGTGTGCCTAGTGCTCACGGAGGTCAGAAGAGGGCATTGGATCGTCTGCAACTGGAGTTACAGCTGTGAGCTACCATGTGGGTGCCTGGAGTAGAACTTGGGTTTCCTGCAAGAGCAACAAATGCTCTTAACTGCTGAGCCAATCTTCAGCCCTTTTTGTTAATTTTTAAAGCTTTATTGTTTGTTAATGCACATGTGGAAGTCATTTCTCTCTGTCTGCATTAATTCCAGGCCTTGAACTCTGGTGGTCAGGATTGCCCAACAAGCATGTTTACCCACTGAGCCATCTCCGTGGGCCTGGTCAGCAGTAGCAAAGAGGGACTTGGGGAATGTGTGCTGGCTAGTGTTTTGTCAGCTTGACACAAGCTAGGGTCATTTGGGAAGAGGGACTCTCAAATGAGAAAATGCCTCCATAAGACTGGCGTGTCAGAAGCCTGTAGTGCTTTCCTAATTAGAGATTGATATGGGAAGGCCCAGCCCATTGTGGGTGGGGCCACCCCAGCCTGGTGGTCTTGGGTGCTGTAAGAAATCAGGCTGAACAAGCCAGGGAGCAAGCAAGAAAGCAGTGTCCTCCATGGCTTCTGCTTCAGCTCCTCATGCCAGGTCCCTACCCTGCTTTAGTTACAGCCCTGACTTCTTTGACAATGAACTGTACCTTGGAACTGTACACTGAAATAAACTCTTTCCTCCCCAAGTTGCCTTTGGTCATGGTGTTTTATCACAACAGTAGAAACCTAAATTAAAACTGATGACTCCGTGGGTAAGAGCAGCTTGCTATGCAAGCAAGAGGGCCTGAGTTCAAATCCTGCCGTCCTGATGTAACCAGTAACCCCAGTGCTGTGCCAGGGGAGGGCAAGGGAGACAGGCTTGCTCAGGCTTGCTCCAGGTTCAGTGAGACTATGCCTCAAGAGGATAAGAGAGCGATACAGGAGGACACCTGATGTCCTCTGACTTTGATATGGGTGCACATCCCACACACAGACACACAAGGACTATTAAAGAGGATTGCACACACCAGCAATGCTTGTGGCCATCATTAGATGCCACTTGGGACTTCCAGTCAGAGTGTGTTTCATGTAATCTCCACCCCTCAATCTGAACGGGGCTGTGAAATGGAGAGCAGGAGGTAGTGTAAACTCAACATTGAAAACTGTTAGCAGCTAACCATGGAGGGGCCGACCCAAAGGCCTCGATGCTGGTCTGGTCAACCATTGACCACTCTCCACAGGGAGTTACTGATCACCGTCTCTGTTACACAGAGTCTATGTAGCCCTGGCTGGCCTAAACTCATGTTTCCAGGCTGGCCTGAAACTCATTAAAGATTCTCTTGCCTCTGCCTCTCAAATGCTAAGATTAAAGGTGTTGAGCTGGGGCTAGAGAGTTGGCTCAGTGGCTGAGAGCATGTGTTTAAGCTACCATTTATGTGCTAGGGTATGTACATGCACAGACATATATGTAGGCAAAACACATGCATAAAAATTTTAAACATTTAAATAGTAATAAAGCAATGTGCTCCTGAACTCAGCTTTGTATTGGTTTTTTTTTTTTTTTTTTTTTTTTTTTGAGATGGTCTTGTGTAGCCTAGGCTAATCTCCAATTTATCTATGACCTTCAATTTCTGATCCTACTGCCTTCCTCTCTAGGGTGCCAGGATTTCAGCTGTGCACTACCATGCCCTTTTACACAGTACTGGCGATCCAGTTCTGTGCTTTGTGTATGCTGAGCACTTTCTACAAACAGATACTGAATTCTAAACTAGTCTGTCTTAACGTATTTTATTGCATTTATCTATTATACAGGTGTATATTTGTGTGTATAAGTACTTTAGCACATGGGTATCATGAGGCACATGTGAGGGTCCTAGGGGTTGAACTCGGGTCAGGTCAGGCTTGGTGGCAAGCACCTTACACAATGAGCCATCTTACTGCCTCCCCCTCTTTTAAAGAGTTTTAATTTTTTGAGCATTTTGCCTGCATGTATGTATGTGCATGATGCATGTACTTGTTGTCCAAGGAAGTCAGAAGAGGGCATTGGATCCCCAGGAGTCACAGACAGTTGTTAGCTGCCATGTGAGTGCTGGGAACCAAACCCAGGTCCTTTGCAAGATCAGCAAGTGCTCCTAACTGCAGAGCAGTCCCTCCATCCAGCCTAAATAGTCTTTTTTTTTTTTTTTTTTTAATTAGTGTATATGAATGACCTGTCTTCGGGGACACCAGAAGAGGGAATCAGATCCCATTATAGATGGTTGAGAGCCACCATGTGGTTCCTGGGAATTGAACTCAGGACCTCTGGAATTGCAGCCAGTGCTCTTAACCTTTGAGTCATCTCTCCAGCCCCCGTCCCCCACCCCCTCCCCCACCCCCACCCGGAATAAAATTAACCTTAATCTCTGCTTTCTGGGCCAGTCCAGGTTTGGCTGCCAACATGTTCCTGCTATTCTTTGACAGCCCAGCAGAGGGCGCCAGAGACTCAATTCACAATTCAGCTGCTTTGTCCAGGCCTGGCTGACCTCATGGGAATGGCTAGCGAAGCCCCATGTGGCCTCTGTTGTGTGAAGCACAGCAGATGTGAGCTGCTTTATCTATTTACTGGCATCCAGGAATGGTGTATGGTGGCAGAGGCTGGTTCCACGGGGAAGGGCCACAACCATTCCTAGAACCTGTGTCTTACCAGGTTGGCAAAAGAAGCGAGCCATCTGCTCAGTCCACCTTCCTGTAGACTGCAGCCTCAACTCCAAGAAGACACCTCTTGGTGATGCATAGGCCCTGGAGGGTAGGACAGTCCTTAGATTCCATCTCTGAGGCATCTCCTTGGCCAGGTGGCCTTGCACACACCAATGCCGCTTAGCCCAGCCAAGTCACCAGGCGTGCAGAGTCCGGTCATCCATACCTGCTCTCCATTAAAGGCATGTGCTTTGTGAGCCAACCCCTGAAGCTCTCCATGTACTAGGTCTTTATATGATTATGAGATTATTATAGCTCTTAGCCAGCCACCTGTCCCCCTCTAGGTTTGATCACCTGACAGGCACAGCTAGCCCTCTGTATTTGCAGGTTCTGTACCCAGAGAGTCCAACCACCAGAGATGGAAAACATCCATGGGAATAGCTGAAGCTCATCTAGCGTTCAGGGAGTTCCAGGCTCCGTCCGGCCTGAGCACTGGTAAATGGGCCTGGTCGTGTACGACCTATAATGGCAGCACTTTTCTCTGAGAGCTCAGTAAGACTATACCTCAAGGTCATCGTCTGCTTTGTAGTGATAGTTCAAGGCCAGCCTGGGCTAAATGAGACCCTATCTCAAAAAAGAAAAAAAAGAAAAAGAACAAGAAGGAGACCAAGAAAAACTTTCACAGAACTGATGATGTACTGACTGTCCTGTTGTTGTCTTCTAAAGTACAAAGCCAGGCATGGTGGCTTACACCTGTTATCCCAGCCCCGAAGAGGCTGAGGCAGGAGGATCATGATGAACTTGAGGTCAGCCTGAGCTATGAAACAAGACCCCATGAGATGATGATAATGATGGCAGTGGGAGCACTTGGGAGCACTCGCCTAGCATGCACAAGGCCCTGGCTTCCGTTCTGGTTCCAGAAGCAATGATGAAATGAGCGAAGTGGGCCCCTCATCTTGACGTTTGGCCCCGACTGGATTTGCCTCTGTGTCATTTCCTTTGTGGTTTCTTCCCTGTGGTTCCTGTCAAGTCTCATTAGAGCATGCTTTGATTCTGCCTGGGAAACAGTAAACAGCTGGTGGCCCAGTAAATAATTTCATTAAGACTGGGAAAATAGCTGGCCAGTGGTGACGCACACCTTTAGTACCAGGCAGATCTCTGTGAGTTCAAGACCAGCCAGGTCTATATGATGAGTCCAGGCTAGCCAGAGCTACATAGGGAGACCCTGTCTTTAAAAAAAAAAAAAAAAAAAAAAAAAAAAATTTGCTTGCCACCAAACATGACAACCTGAATTCAATTCCTGGAGCACTCTCAAAAGTGGAAAGAGGAATCTGGAAAGATAGCTTAGGGGTTAAGAGCACTGGTTGCTCTTCCAGAGGTCCTAGGTACATGGCAGCTCACAACTGTCTAACTCAGGTCTTGGGATCTAACATGCACATGATGTGCAGACATAGGCAGAATACCCATTCACATAAAATAAAAATAAAGGTTAAAAAAACATTTTTAGAAAAGTGGAGAAGCAGTGGGGCATGGTGTTGCACACCTTTAATCCCAGCACTCGGGAGGCAGAGGCAGGTGGATGTCTGTGAGTTTGAGGCCAGTCTGGTCTACAGAGTGAGTTCTAGAACAGCCATGGCTATTTGGAGAAACGCTGTCTCAAAAGAACCAAGAACCTGCCGGGCGGTGGTGGCGCACGCCTTTAATCCCAGCACTCGGGAGGCAGAACCAGGCGGATCTCTGTGAGTTCGAGGCCAGCCTGGACTACCAAGTGAGTTCCAGGAAAGGCGCAAAGCTACACAGAGAAACCCTGTCTCGAAAAACCAAAAAAAAAAAAAAAAAAAAAAAAAAAAAGAACCAAGAACCTGGGTTGGGGATTTAGCTCAGTGGTAGAGTGCTTGCCTAGCAAGCGCACGGCCCTGGGTTCGGTCCTCAGCTCCGAATTAAAAAAAAAAGGGGGGGGGGGTGTGGAAGGAGGGAACTGACTTCACAGAGTTATCCTTGGATGATGCTGTGGGTAAAGGGTTTGCCACATATGCAAGAGGACCTGGGTTCAATACCCAGCACCCATGAAAGCAAACCAGCACAGTAGTGTGTGTGGTAACCCCAGAACTGGGCAGGCAGAGACAGGTAGATTTCTTGAGTGTCCTGGCCAGTTGGGCATGGTAGAGCACACCTCTAAATCCCGGCACTTGCGATGGTGAGGCAGGAAGATAAGGACTTGGAGGCCAACTTGATCTTTGACCCTGTCTCAAAACAAAACAACGGGAAAAAAGAAAAGGGAAGAAAATAGCATAAAATAGACCCCTTTCAGGGTAGAACGAAGAAATTCTGTATCACTCCACTTTGTCCTCCATGGGTTGTGAGCCACACTGTGTAATCTGCTTCCCAAGAGCTACCCAGCTGCACAGCTGTCCTGCTTGTCAGATGGAAGGTTGTCATACAATCTGACCCTGTGTGCTGGATGGTTTTATGTTAACTTGAAACAGGCTAAAGTCATCTTAGAGGAGGGAACCTCAATTGAGAAATGCCTCCATAAGAGAACTGTAGTCAGGCAGTGGTGGCGAACGCCTTTAATCCCAGCACTCATGAGGCAGGGGCAGGTGAATTTCTGTGAGTTCAAGGCCAGCTTGGTTTACAGACTGAGTTCCAGGACAGGCTCCAAAACCTACACAGAGAAGCCCTGTCTCGAAACCCCCCTCTCCCCCAAAAAAAAGAAAAAGGAAAAAAAGAGAGAGAGATAGAGAACTGTAGGCAAGCCTGTAGAGCGTTTTCTTAATTAGTGATTGATGGGGAGGACCAGCCCATGGTGGGTGTGGTCACTCCTGGGCTGGGGGCCCTGGGTTCTATAAGGAAGCCGACTGAGCCAGGTGGTAGTGGCCCACACCTCTAATCCCAGCACTCAGGAGGTGGGGCCAGGTGGATCTCTGTGAGTTTGAGGCCAGCCTGGGCTACAGAGTGAGTTCCAGGAAAGGCACAAAGCTACACAGAGAAACCCTGTCTCGAAAAAACAAACAAAAAAAAGAAAGAAAGA